CCCACGGGCACACAGGAGAGGGGCTCCCTGTTCCGAGGATCTTGCGGCCGGGACCCTTGGTGCTCAGACCTATAGGGACATGGCAAATTCTTCTGGCTGGCAAGATGCGCCGAAACCCGGATGGCTGCTGAGCACACAAGACCTTCTCCCTTCTGCTCTGCCCTGTGAGCACCTCCAGATGGATGGAGCTGAGAGCAGATGGACAGATAGGGGGGCTGTCTGTCTCAACTCTCTCCCTCTCTTCCCTGCACAATCGCATGTCTTTTGCATCTTCTTTGGGAAAAAAAAAAGCCCCAGTTCAACAGCCCCAAATTCTCCTACCAGATTTGATCTCTGCTGCAAAGAGTGGACCCAGAAGAAATGGGGCAGGGCAAGAAATTAAGCTTCTTTGTGTGAGCAGTTCTCTCAGGACAGAAATTAGGATTTTCCTGTCCCATTCCCTGAACAAAGTGCTTCCCTCTGGTCCTTATCCCCTTCCCTGCCCTGCAGCTAACATCAGTGACTCCTTGTGCTGTGCAGTCACCCAGATCTTGACATTTGGCACTATTAAGAGCATTTGAGCTCGTAGGGCCAATTCCAGCCTTATCAGAAATAGGGAGTATCTCTTCAAGCAGAACATAGCCAGGGTCTAAAACCTGGCCTTCCAAATCTGCTTGAGCAATTTTGTGTCCAGACAGTGCTGCTCAAAGGTGGACAGGTGAAGGCAGTAGAGGGCTTCAAAGCTGTCCAGATGCCTAGGTCTTGGCCACAATGCTGTCTGGAGACACACTTGAGACATGAGTCCTCACTGGGGAAGGAATGGCATGGGCAGCACCCAGTGGCTATCTTTGTCATGGCAGGGCAAGTGTCTGCAGCACCATGCAGGAAGCCCCTGGGCTCATGTCTTAGAAGAAACAGCAGTGCAACAGCAGAGCTCTACCCAGGCCAGCTCTCCCTTGCAGGACTTGTTAGCATAAGCACAGTCACAGGATCACAACTTCCAGGTCTCCAGCTCACTTCCTCAATGCTCAAAGTCCTGCCCCATTCTCCACCTCAGCTCCAAGTGGGTTGAGCGAACTGCTTGAATTGTGTTGGAAGGAGAGTTCAGCCTGTGCGGGTAGCCTTCCCGGGTAGGCAGATACATGGATTTTGTTTCATGCACATGGTAAGCCTCTTCTCTCTGCATTGCTGTATGTGATAGGGGACAGGGCAGACTGAGAAAGTAAAAGCCAAGGCTTGAAAACTGGAGAGAAAGTAATAACCCACTGGGAATCCATTGCTTTGAGTAATGTTTAGGATGTTTAAGGGAGGCTGGATCCCAGTCTCAAGGGCATTGTGTCCCTTGTCCTTCCACAGTTATATGCCCACACCAGAGGCTCATTTCTGCTTTTCTGGACTTATGTTTACACAATTTACAGTACCTTTGTATGGAGCTTGGGCAATTCATCCGGCAGCCCATGTGCAATACAGACATTTGTGGAACTCGCTGCCACAGGATGTCCTCCAGGGTTGCTCTGGACGTTATCAGTGGGTAATGTGTCACATCACCGAATTAAGTGCCTTACTCAGATCTGACCATGAGTTGAATTTGCAGAAACTGCCCTGGCAGCAGGAAGCCCTCAGGGGACTTACTGTGGTGGGTTGTTGCTGGTACTACCCATGCACCTCCTCAGTGCAGGAAGCAGCCTTTGAAACTCGGAAGTGGTGCTGCATCAGGGAGTGGTAAGCTGGCTCAACTCCACAGTTTCTCTGTGCCCTCCTAGGACTGCAGGATTTTGCAGTGCCAATCATTGCACCCTGAGCCCTCCTCCCTCCCGCAAGCAGTGGCAGTAGCAGCCACCCTGTAACACGTATTACTCTCAAGTCTCTGCAATGCATCAGGAAAGCAGGTGCTCACAGCTGCCAGATCCATAGTACCGCTGGGACCACTCTCTTCAGCTTAATTTTAGTGACTTGGAGGCAATTTGTCTGGACCGGTGACTCATTCCTTGCTCTTTTTTTTCTCCCTGCCCTCCCCCTTCCTGTTCTTGCTCTGCCTGTGCCTGGCAGTGTGAGTGAGTGCCGGTACTGATATGACTGCCTGTGACGTGAGCTTAGGAGCATTAACACAGAAATGTTTTGGTGAAAGGATGTCCCTGGCAACCCGCAGGGGCAGCCCCTACGGAGAGGAGTCTGGGCCCGGGTGTCCCCTCCCAAAGCCTGCATCTCATCCTTTGTGTGTCTCAGAGGGGAGACAACTTTTCCTTTGAACACATGGAGGCTGAGAAGAGGAAGGACAAAAGCCAAGGTGTAACAACCCCACTGCCTTTAGCTGGCACAAGATATTTACACTTTACTGAGGAATGCAGGGGGCTCAGCTGAGAACTTAGCAACTCACTGCATGAATCAGGCCTCCTGGCCTCATCCTATAGCAGCTGGGGCTCCCCAGTACCAAGCTCAGCGTGGTGCTGCCTGGGTTGTCACTGCTGAAGGAGAGGCACAGCTGGCAGGTCCCTCTACCCCAGCCGTCCCATTGCTCACTGCTTCTGGGCTGTGTCCCCCCGAGGTGCAACACATCACAGCCATGGCAAGAATGCACAGTCTATTTATTTTGTGTCTTATTCACACCGTCATGACCTCAGGGGTTGGTGAGGAAGGGAAGGAGCAACTGGGGTGTGGTGAGTGTGAGGAAGTCGTGCAAATGGACAAACTAGTGCTACAGATGCACAACAGTTTTTCAAGCCAGAAGTAAAAAGTGCAGTGACCCACCACAGGGTACTGAGCTCTGAGATGCTGGAGCTATCGCTCTCCTGCGTGCTGGGCAGAGCCTGGCATCAGGATGGGGCCGGGATCTGTAGCCAAAAACACAACAGACCTTGTGAAACCTGCTCAGTTATTTTTCTGCTCTCCCTCCCTCTGCCCTGGTGGTGGTGGGAGAATGAAGGGGCAGGGTCCCAGCCAGAAAGCTCTCACTCTCTCCTCAGGCTCTGGCCAGCTTTGCCTCTCGTCCTGAAGCCTCTCTCCTTCCTATTCTGCCTTGAGTTGAAGGGGAAAGCTAGGTGGGGACAATATGAGGAGTAAAGGAGTCCTGGGGGGAGGAGAAGTTGTTGCCTGCCAATGAACAGCAACACAAAAAACCCCTTGAGTTGAGTAAGACCTGGTAAGAGGAAGGGCCACTGGGCAACTTCCATGAATAAGGACAGCTTTTTTTTTTTTTCCCCCCTATAGGGAAAGGCTGCAGCTTCACAGCAGGTCATCCCCAGTGCAGCCCGGATGCAGTTCCTTCTGTGGCAGAAGGTGACAGACAGTTTTACTCTGTGGAAGAGGTGGAAAATCCTGGGCTGCCCTGCACCCGGAGATGGGCAAGCAACCTGGCCATGGGCAAGCAGCAACGAGGGAGAAGTGGTTCAGGGGTCTGTGTGCTCTGTCATACCCTGTCCTGTCCTTTCCCCAGGCAGGACTGCTGTCTCACTCTCTCTCTTTGAGGGTGACCCATCCCACCAGGCACAGCAGGTCATAGGAACCCAGTGGCCCTGACCACCTGGGTTCAGGAGCAGGAAAGTGCCACTGGTGTCATTCCCAGGGATCCCTTTCAGACTTACTCATTTAAAGGAGGCTGCATACACGTTTCTTTGTCCGGGTGGGCTGCGGACAGAGGACTGCTCGGATGGCCTCATCAAACACCGTCTTGAGGCCGCGCTGTGTCAAAGCTGAGCATTCGAGGTATTTCACGGAGTCTGTCGGGAGGAAAGCAGGTGCTGTAATGGGGAGGAAGGGAACCGGGGTAGGCAGGGGGGGTACCCAGGAGTCTGCTGCCAAGGGTGTTCAGAAGAGAAACACGCAGGAGGAATACCACAGTTCGCATCAAGCAGGAAGAGATGCATGTGCCTGTATCACCAACGTGTTTCTGGCTCACATCACTGCACAGCCACAACACCATCCTCCCACAGTGCCCATTTTACATTGTCCTGAGGCACATAGAGACCACCTAAACACCTCCTGAGTCTCATCTTGAGATGAGGTCTCAGGTCCCCTCAGACTTCAAGTATCATTCAGACTGTCTGGCATCAAGCACCTCTGCTGGCGTCTCAGATTACATGGCACCTCCCTTTTCGGACTCTATACCCCCAAATTCACAGAGACCTTGCACTGGAAAGCAAGGCACCTGACTCCTACCTGAACTGAATAAACACAGCTCAGGTAATCAAAGCCTTTAACCGTTGTCAGGACACACTTCACTTACTCAGGCAGTCAACTTCAGGACAAAGCTTGCTGGCTATACAAGACCAAGGTTTGCCTATTCTCCACCCTTGTAGCCAGAGCAGAACCATCACATGAGGCTGGCTATGCTATCCTGGCCAGACACCCTCTCCTCTGAACTCCCAGTTGAAAACTTCTCCCTCAAGCTATGTTTCCCACCCTCTCTGCTGCCTCTGCATGCCACATCTGAGAAGAGAGGCTACCTGGAACAGGCATTTGTGCATGTCCCAAAATACAGGAGTGACCTGATGCCCCTGAGATGAATGGTGGGGGTGAGACATGCATACCCGGGGTTGCATGTATATGCCCTGGTACTCAAAGGCAGGCACAGGAAGTTGCAGTTGCAACTCTTCCTGAGAGATGCTAGAAAACTCACCCTTCCG